AATTAAGTTTAAAAGTAGTACCGCTTGATTTTCCAAACTCAATAAGCTTCCTTCGCGTCAAACGAGTGGCAAAAGAAAAATCCTCGCTAACACTGACGTCCATTGACTTCAGTTTCGCCTTTAAAAGCATGACTTGCTCTTTTGCCTTGAAAGAAGAAAATTTAACGATGACTGGCCTACATTTACTGATAGTGTACTGGCCAAGCCTATGAGCCCTCTCAATGTCGAAAGACAGGTCAGTTTCGCCATTGAAACAGTCACACAAAGCCCTTTTTATTTTTTGTTCAACTTGAGCCCACGTTTCCGCAGCACTATCAGCGATACCATAAAAAAGGGCGTTGTTTCGCCTAGACCTATCTTCAAGTTCATCCAACCGATGACGTAAAGCAGTATTCATTTTCCTCTGCTCTCCCATTTCCTTTCGTAGGCCTTGTATCTCTTGTTCAAAAGCAGTTGTCTTTTTTTCGACGGATACAAGCCTTGTACTGATTTTTGTAACCTTTTCTTCAATAGATTTTTGACTTTGCTTTATTTCATCCACGGAACTGATTAGCGCTGTTTGGCCAGCCTCAAACCCCTGTGACCGGGAATTTAGCTCATTTAATAACTGGAACATTTGTGAAAATTGCTGAGCTTGCTCCGCATTCATGGGACCCGGATTTGTTTCAATATCTCCACAACAGAGCAGTGATCTAAACAAGCCAACACACGCTTCACCATAACGCAGCAAACTAAACAGACAGTATGGGCAGGGCAGCAGCAGCAAAAAACGGTCGTCGGATCGGTAACAATGACTGTCGTCAAGTGCGGGACGTACCTGCACAAAGATGAAAGACAGCCTGTTACGCATGCTGCTTGTCACGCTGCTGCCGGCCTGCCCACTGAACAGGTCGCACAGGTTCTCCGCCTTTGTAGCCCCAGGAGGTGACGTTGACGTCCCACGTGTTCTTCCGTTTAGCCATGGTAGAAAAAACAAAGCAAAATATTGAAACGAAGTTATTAACAATGGGAATCTTTGTAGACCTAACAAAAGCGTTTGACCTATTTAACCATGAACTTTTACTACAGAAATAAGTTCGTACGGGGTTCGTGGTGTTACTCTCAATCTAATCGAAAGTTATCTATCAAACAGATGCCAATTTGTCACTTTAGATGGCACTATTTCAACAACTAAACCTATTACCATCGGTGTTTCGCAAGGCTCAATATTAGGTCCCTTTCTTTTTAAATATATATTAATGACCTGGCAGCCTATTTACAAAAAGATTGTGTTCTTTATGCCGACGATACAAATATTTTTGTATCTAATGCAAGCGTGACAGAAATATACATGGAAGCTAAGAACATTTTAGAAAAGCTAGCTAAATGGCTAAACCATAACAAATTAGTTCCCAATATAGCGAAAACAAACTACATAATTTTTGCCCCGAAAAACAAACTAATTCAAACACACCTCAGCTTTCGTTTGCAAGTTTTAACCTTACTCGAGTGTACCATACTAAATTTTTAGGACTAACACTTGACCATCAGTTAACATGGCACCAACACGTAAAAGACACAACTAATAAGATATATCGAAATATACCAATTCTTTATAAACTACGGCACATATTTTCCTTGCGAACCCTTCAAATGCTTTATCATAGCTTCATTCATATTCACATTTCGTACGGGTTATCCATTTATGGATTGACATGTAAAACAACACTAAAACCCATAGAAATCGCCCAGAGCACAGCACTACGAGCAATGCTGTTTGTTAATAGGCGCGAAAGTGCTCAATTTGCGTACCGCTTCCTCAACATTTTAACAGTTAATCAATGCCTCGATTATCGTGTAGCATTATTAACATTTAAGTTCATCACCAATCAAATAACATGCTCTTCAATTAGTTTTACTCATCAAGATGTCATGTATCCTCTGCGTTCACATTCACGAGCGTCACTGTCTGTACCATGCATACGAACTAATTATGGTGCGATCACCTTCATTTACATTGCTACTAAAACGTGGAACTCTCTACCACCCTGCCTAACGGCCATGTCATCATTCTATATCTTTAAACAAGCCTTACGTGCACACATACTATCTGCATAATTCATCAACCATTTCTATGCCCCTCCCCCTCCCCCCTCCCCCCCCCAACCCCGATTCATTCCTCTCTCCTAGGCACACCTTTCACACAATCACACACACACACAAACACAGACTGATATTGTCCCTTTTTCTCGACTTTTTTAGCTTTTCTTCTCTCCCTTTTCACTTGGTTTAATATTTTGATTATGTAGAAACCACAATTGTGTTTCGTTTTTTTTTTATGTATAATGGTGTTAACTTGATCGCTGACTAACCCTTTATTACCAACGGGTCCCTTCAACAGTTTTCTTTTGAAAACTTTAGGACCCCCGTCTGAATAAGTGTAATTATCTAACATCTTGTGTACAAATAAAAACACATTTTGACCTGACTTGACTGGACTTGACTTATCGTGTTTCTAATTTTGTTCCGTTCAACTGGATTTATTTTGTTTTTTACAAATAAATTATAAAAGAAACAAAAATCTAGACCAGGCTTCGCACGAACAGAACGCGGTGCTCTTGTGCTGATCAGAGAGTTGAGCTTTTTTTTTTTTTCTACATGCCACTTCTTCGTCAATTATGTGGTATCTTATTCAAGCAAATCAAAATACGAAGCAAATATTCGCTCGCCCGCGCACACCGAGAGGGAGAGAGAGTGAGCCTGAGAGACACGCACACCGAGTTGCATGCAAGTTTGACTTTGCATCGGACAGTACAACCGTTTTGTCTTATGTGGGCTTTCTGCTTAGTTTATCATATTATACCACCGTCTTAGGCACTTTGAAACCAGAAGAAGAAGTTTAACTGTCTTATGAACTTCGGTTCTTACCAGGGTTGGGCAGTATCGCGATACAAATCTATCGCGATAGTATTTCAGAAATACATTTCGTATCTGTATTTCTGTATCGCGATACATTTTTTTCACCAGTATCTGTATTCCTGTATCGAAATACATTTTGAATGTTCCTTTGTATCGCGATACAATCAGGATCAAATGTATTTCGTTACATTTCTTGAGAAATACTCCCCCCCCCCCCCACCGAAAAAAAAAAAAAAAAAAGTCCCAACGCATTTTTTTTAATATTTTTTTTTTAATTCTAAGGGCACCAGAGTCAAGGAGATGCTGGGGTATTGTTGCTATGCTGACCAAGGTTCCTTTTGATTCTGCAAACTATTTTTCTATACGTCCTCTTCTCTGTTCTGAGAAGTGTTGCGTAGTCGGGTACTCGAACCAGGTGGCGTGCCAGGAGTGGAGTCAGAGCACCTTCTGCCGCAGGTCCTTAGGTAGGGACTTCTTGAGTCATTGTTTGCTGGCATCCAATGCCCGCTGCTAACCGTCTCTCTCGCCTTAGCGTACAGAGTCACATTCCGTTGCAGCACGAGCCAGGCGGTGGTTAACTTGATATAGTAGGAAGACTCACGCTGTGAAGTTCAACACATATTCAAATGCATCTGTGGCTGCGCCCGTAACATTGCACGCCTCAAGGGTACGTCATCAGCCGACGTGAACGTGACCCGCTGCTCTGGTGATCCGAAACCTAGAAGGAGGCCAGAAGTGGCCTCGCTGTGCCATCCCAGACTACGTACTCCCGCGACTAGTCTCGAGACCGCTGTTTCTCGGATAGCTCGCACCTGTGCCGGCAATATCAGCTCGCAATCCACGAGGTTTCTGTTTGGATAATGCTAGGCAAAACTTGAGGACTGCAATCCGTGCGTCGGTGGTGGAGGGTCGGTAGTAAGGACCTTCAGAACAGGGATGCTACCGTATCGTTTTTTCAACTGTGAAACAGAAGATAAGACATGTATTTCAAGATGCTTCAGGTGGTCCACTATTCTCAAAAATTCCAAATGACACTGCATGCACGATCTTCAGCTAGGTAGCCTACAACGAAAGTACGTATTGTCCTTTCATACAGCAGAATGGTAAAGTTTCATGTTCAAGGCGACACCTAAAGATAAAGAATTCTAATTCACTACACCGTGACATAATGTGATCAATGTTGACAGGATTCCCTCGTCAGACAGACAGGATGTCAGGGAAGGGACCGCGGTCAGCAATTGTTGGAACGTTTTTTTGGGCGCATTGAAGACTCCTTGTCGTCCGAAACCACTACCTTCAAGGCAAAGTACCAAGCCTGCAGGAAAGTAATTTCGGGATCGAAAACACCCACTTCAAACTTCAAGCTTCAACTCAGTTGGCGTCTCAAAAAATTTGGAAAATGTATTGCTGTATCAGTATTTCTGTATTTGTATTTCTGCCTTCCCTAAAATGTATTCCTGTATTTGTATTTCCAAATACTTTTTGACTCTTTTTAAAATGTATTTCCGATACGTATCGCGATACATTTTTACAGATGTATCTTAGTATCAGTATTTTAGCTACTATTTCAATGTATCCCAGTATTTGTATTTCCAAATACATTTTTGAGTATTTCTGCCCAACCCTGGTTCTTACATTACATATAAATCGTGCCCCCCAAGCTTCCAAAGGATGACCGTTTCATGAGCAGAACGACATACAGCAGCTTTAAATTAGAAGGAATTCTTTTTAATGAACTGTAAACGATTAGCTGAACAAAATACCACAAAAGACCTGGGCAGTACCTTGCCCGTGACGCCGCACCCGCCTGGGACTTGAGATATCTCTCCAGACCTACCTCCCCCCCCCCCTCTACTCCCAAGCTTAAGCCACAAATCCGCCCTGCCCTCTACCAGATGATGCGTTGACCTAATAATTTTAGCTGGTGACGTGCCTGGACTGGCAACGGTGGATAGAACTACCTTGAAGCAAAGCGCTTGTTCTACGTTTGCAATTTTCTACCGCTCATGTATATTTCAGAACCTTTTTATTTTCATCATCGCAGCGGGGTGTCGACGACCACGTGTGGTCTCAGAACCTCCGCGGCATATCTCCGTTTCCTTTTAGGCATTTCCGCAGTTCTTTTTGCACTCCTCGAGGTTTTTGAACTTCTGACAGTTGTGAGGTCCAGTCTCCTTCGGGATGGTCTGACACATCTTAGTGGTCGTGTTGTACTGGGCGGTCGATGTCACAGTGTGCGTCGGGTCGTTCGCACCCTGATTGGTGCATGCTGCCAGGGAAAAAGAAAAACGTTCATTGCAACTTTTAATACTTTGCGGGTACTCGCAAACAACTTTACACAGCTATGGTTACTGACAGTAGAAGAAACGCGAAACGTGGTTTATTACGCAGACTCTTCTTGCTTCATGATTTGTTCATCGGCGTGCTTGTCCTCTAATTTCGTAATCTCACCGACTGCGAAACGATAATAACATTACTGGGACTGGCCATACCCTAATTTTTTTAAGATGTTAATGATTGTTACTGCTCTCGAGATCGGTTATAAGTTTATAACGAAGTCAACGGGAATGGGAATTCACTTCGCTACATCCGCTATTTCGTTATAACCAACTTCGTTATAACCGGTCTCAAATGTATACGGCAAATATTCTAATGCCGGTTAAATAAAACTAAAATTATTAAAACAAATACCTCCGATTTGCATAACAATACCAGCAATTTATAAGACGTTTCATCTCCTATGCGGGAGACATCATCAGTGCGGCCTAGGAGCTAAAATGACTCCAAACCTTGTTTTCTTTGTTCGTTTTTGGTGGGAGACAGGGTGAAACTTGCTTTAATACCATTCTTTTTCTATCTTGTATCAACGTCAAAGTTAAACTTGGTGCATAAACAATTCGACGGAGCGAAGTTGCACGGAATTGTTGTCTCGTGTCTTCTCTGTAGATGTGTAATGGACTCTTTTCAAAAACCCTGTCAAACAATATTGGTGGTTACCATTTCCTGGGCAGAAAGCAGGCGATCGGATACGAGTGCTCTCCAAAAGTTGACGGAGCACTTTTCGCGATTTGAGCTTAGCCGAGGTTACGCTGAACGCCGACAAATCCCTTGTGCTCTATACATGCTTAGAGTGCGTGTCCTAAAAATGGTGGACGGGGATAACTGACGCACCAGCTACTAAAGGGCATGCACTTATCGGAAGGGTATATTTGATCATTTTAGCGCAGCTGCTAAGCAGTAGTCGCGGCTTAAGAGCCGCAGCATAGCTTATTATCTTAGCGCCTTTTTTCTTGGTCGTTCGTTCTTTTTTGTGGTTTTACTGGCTAATGCAGCATTATTTGTCGCTGAGGGATCATATCGATGCTTCGCCTCGTCCTGCACGTCTTAAGCGATCAGTGACTACGGGAGGATTTAACAAGCAGAGGAAATATGGATGCACGACTGAATCCTCGAGTTATGCTGATCAATATCTAGACAGACATCAGCGTGGATTGAACAGATGTTGTACGAACGACTCCATCTAACTACACACTTAAAAACTGGTATTGCTAAAAACCACCTCCACGTAGCACGTGGTTTAGTTACTTAAATTAAGTTGTATTATTTGAAGTCAAATAATCATGAAATTAATTTTAAATTTAGTTGATCATTGTAGCATTTCATTGAGTTTAAATTATTGTCACTAAATGTATTGACTCGGCTGACTATTGAAACAGTTTTTTTTTACATGCTAGCGATTTCTTTATATCTAGTATACTAGCGGTATACTAGTCTTCGTAAACGTGTCCCTTCCTTATTCGCAAACGACATTATTCACGACTAAAACAAATCAAATATTTAATTATCCAAGAATATTCAAACAAAACTGTAAACTATAGTAATGTAGACAGTTGGGCGAGTTTTTATAGACTGAACATAGCTACAGTTGCACACTAAAGAACAGGGACAGAGAAGAGGAACACATAGACGACAGACAAGCGCACGTCTACGTGTTACTCTTCTCTGTCCTTGTCATTTTGTGCGCAACTGTAACTCTATGAAAGTTTCAAACGTTTCTAAAAATTACATCAAGCTCAATGCCACCAAATAATATTTCCACTAAGCCCTATTGTAAACATAAAGCATGCATTTCTACCTTGTAGCATGCTAGTATACTACTAGCATACTAGCGGTATACTAGCCTTCTAGTATATTCGCAGGGTAAGTTTGATCTGTAGAATTTTTTACCACATTAGGTTGTGACAGCAACTAATGAGAGAATCGGTCTACCAAACGTTCACCACTCGATAAGAACATCATTCGATCAAGCGGTCAGCGATGAAATGTTCAGTGGTATACTAAAACGATCAAAGCAGAAGACCTACCTTGAGGATAGGCGCAAGTGTGCTGGGATCCGGCTTCCACGGTTTCTAAAATCAAGTGGCATAAACGGTTTATTTAATCATTTGTAACTTGTATAATAAATGACCGTGTTATTTTTATTGGAGGTTCGTACCTAAAGGCCCAAACACATAGAGGCGTCTGATTGAGCCTGCTAGTGAATCGGCAAACTGACGTTGAGGCGGGACTGCCTGCACATAGAGCCTACCAGGTCTAGAAGAATTGCACAGTTTCGCAACTACAACTACGGCGCCTGGAACCCGTATAATTGACTCGTGTTTAACGTCATATCTCCTCTATTCTTCAAAATTGTTTCCCAAGTGGAAACAAATGAGTTCGCAGAAGCCGGTGTGTCATGACGTTGGGGGATCCTGGCGTTTGGTACTAGAAGTTCTGGCCAAAAGTACGAGCGTGCGCGAGTGTCACTGTCGTCGCGGCTTCCCATCTCTTGCTCCTGAAACTTCAGAGCACTGCTAGTCAGGATAGAAACCGGCATTAGGACAGGTATCTCCCGGATACATTATCACGTTTGTGACGCCTCCAGAGTCGTGGCCATGGAGAGCATGACACGTACGTGTATGATGTCATCAGGTAAGAATAGAAGGATCACCTTTTTTAAAACGTAATCAACTCACCAGTCGGAGACGCGTTCCAAGCGCCATACTATACTCCGTTAAGCTGAGACTGCGGCTAAAAGCTACAAGCTTGTGCGTCAAGGCGCTCTTTGCTTTTGAGAGTTGCATTTCTAGCCCGAGCACTCTCTATACAAAAGGACGTTTCAGAGAAACTGCATGGTGCTCTCGTGCAGTCTGCAGTCTCAGCTTGTGGCTGCAGTCTCAGCTCGAGGGTGAACAAAGTATAGAACACTACAGAGCCAACCAGAGCGTTTCTTTTGTAGTACAGCTAGCACTAAGAAAAAGCTCTTTCTTAACCCGGCGGGATTATATTTTTGTATACACCGTCGATGTTTATTGTCGTATCGCATATTTTGAGAATTTTTTTCTTTTTTTCCACTATATTGTGTTACGCTCGTTCCTCTCAATGACATCGTAAGCAATGAATTCATTGTCTTTGAATTATAGTTTTTTCTCTATTATATAAGCAATTATTTTCATTTCGTTCAGGTTTTGTTTGGAAGGTGTGCGCATGATTGATTATTTTTTTAAACATTTTTCCACTTCTGTAAAATCCCCGTAAAGAGTTCACATTTTAACGAAATATAAGGGTCATGCATTAATAATATTAAAATGTTCCTTTTGAATTTATTAAAGCCAAGCTCCACATGGACAATTTTAAGTTATCCCCCAATCAAGAAATTCCACGATCAAGTTCTTAAGTAGCCCCAATTAAAACTGGGCCCTTGAAAACTTCCCACAAACGTCAGACTGCCGGCCAATCTCCAGCAATGCTTGCAAGATATGGCTCAAGAATACTCACTCCACACGACGACGAAACAAAGCGCCAGCAGGACAACCGTCTTGAAAGGGCTCACCAAGTTAGCTGCCATTATTTGAGCTTTCTGTGCGACCGTTGAGAAGGAGGTGACACACTATTGCGATAAGCTGATAATTTTATACAGTTTACGTACCAGGAAATATCCGTTACGTGTGGGATGTTGGGGAGGAAAAAAAAAGCAAGTTTAATTCTATCGTTCAAAATAAACAACTCAGAAACGTCCGGCCCATGTCATACCCGTGGATTCCGGTATGAGCAAGTTGTCATAAAGCTGCTTTCCTGGTAAAGGGTTATTTTTGTAGGGGAAGGGGAATAATCAGAGTGAGAAGCTAAATTCTCAACACCAACCATTGGGTGCCACTCCAGGAAGCATGGTCTTGCATCAACTTGTTTGCGGTCCTAACTCTGCGAGGCTAATTATAGGCCACACTAGAAGCAGGGAGAGTACCTGTTTAAAGGCGACTAGTGAGGATTTTTTTCAGTGTCCATTCGCAAATCACGTGCTTCGCTTTACAAACGATCGAAGCCTGATCTGTAAAGTCAACATCGAGTGAAAATGTGTTACGAAGAAAGTAAACATAAACTAGACACTTACGTGATTTAGTGTACATTTCAACGTCGCAGAAATAGCGGGCTGACTGGTACCAAGAAATTAAAATATAAGCAAATGAGAATGTTTTCTCTTCGGTATTTCTCTACGCACAATTCTTTTAAACGAAAAAAATATTAATGATTACAAAAAATGGACGCTGACGAGTAATAAATGAAACGCATTCACTATGTGTCGTGGTGGTTCGCTACTCGGAGGCCTAAACGGTGAAGTCGCGTATTTCATTTTTTTTCTTCCTTTTATTCTCATCAAAATTTTGGTTCCGCTTTACGGATCTTTTGTTAATTTTAGGAAGTTGTATTTTGTGAACCATTAAATGTTCTAAAAACATAAATTAAACATCAGGTTGAGCCGCAAGCAAATCAGTTCCTTGGCATAAAAAAGGAAGATTTAAAAGATAGACACTTTATAGAAGATTCTGGAAGCCTTCTTTCACTGCGAGAGGGGTATCCTAAAGTATGGATATATTGAGATATTTAAGAAAACCTCCTATACTTTTTTTTGTATGCACAGGTTCCTTGAACAGCACCATGTCAGTTGCTTCGTTATTGTACTCCGTCATACCCTAAAATAGGCCGCAGCGGACGCCATGGGTCCATTCCAGTTAACCAAACACTGAGGAGCTATTAAGCGGCTTAGCAGTCCCACGCGTTGTTTCGCCAAACCAGAAAATACGCTCCCAGTGCCGGATTGACTGATGGCTCGTAGCATCCCCTGTGGTCTGCTTCATGCTAAGACGAAGTTTACGGGTAGAAATTCAGGGAGAGAAAAAGACAAGAGGGCGCGGGAACGTAAAAAAAACGAGCTCTGCTTGGTGTGATAAGTGGGTAGATCCAAAGCTGGCTGCGTTAGTTTCTACTAACTCTTCGAACACATTCGAACGCCGAACTCTGGATTCCGACATTCAGCGTTTGCATTCGAACGCGTTGGAGCAGCGAGTAGAGACACAGGCTGCTAGGTGGGCGTGTAGCCCCAATTCAAACCAAGAAGGGCTTGATTTTCTGACGTCTCCGCGAGCTCTCGCTTCTTCCTCCTCCTGAGTGTCTACCCGTATAGGAAGCATGACTCTGGGTATTTTTTACCCCCCCCCCCCCCCCCCGACGCGGCCACCAAAGAACTGTCTTTACGTCCAAGTACACATTGAGTAATAAAACAGCGTCAAGCGGGAACGACTAACCTCAAGCACGTGCAGCATGCACACGAAGGTTCCATGAGCAAGCTTACAATCACTCGGGCTCATTTCTCGAGCACCGAGACCATTGAAAGCCTGCCTAATTTACCTTTCAGTGCATTTTCAACGTGCTTGAGATCTCTAATGGCGATTGTCGTTCTTTGTCATTGAAGGAATAAATGACCCCTTCAAAGGGGATCATTTATTCTCCGGTGAAATTTCAGTGCGGAGCGCAAGTTGTCTGCTTTTTGCGCAGGGGTTGCAATGAAGTCAAAACGCAGAGCTTTGATTGGCTCTGATTGGAAGGAGAGTAGGTAGACCTCGACATTTGTGCGAAATATTTAGTTTTTCAGACTGTCCGCTCGACTAGCAAGTTTTACAAAACGTGACTTCACCCCACTGGAGAGATTGATTATTGATTTTCTTATAACGTTTATATTCCATTTTCTTTATAGCTCTCTTAAATTTAGAGATAATAAATAGCGCGCCGGGAAGATTGAGCTCTGTGTAATTTGAAACTGGGCTTAGTTTGAGTAGCTAACACAACCACTGGAGCTCGCCTTGAGCTCTGTAAAGACCTCTAAAAGGTGGACAGTGCACACAAATATAAGGGTCATCTAATAATAATGCTAAAATGTTCGTCTTCAATTTTTTTAGAGCAAAGCTCCACGCGACCAATTTCCAGTTACCTCCAATCAAGGAATTTTACGACGAAGTTGTTATGTAGCCGAAATTAAAACTGAGCCATTGAAAACTGCACTTTAAATCTGCACTTGAAAACTGCACCAAAACAGCATAAAATAGCCAACAATGGCATGTTCCTAACTTTTTTTTTTCTGGAAGAACATTGTATTAACTTTCGGTAGTGTACCACTACTTTGTTATGCATATTGAAAGCACTATATGCTAGCTGTACTTCTGTACTGGCTAAATGTTTCATCTACAACATGCATTTGTGCTGCACGCCAAGGTCACGCTATCTACACATTTAAAATATTTTTTTTTGTACAGGCTGGCTGGCTGGTGCGTGTAAATTTAATGGAACTTGGAAACTCGATTTGGGAGTCAGCTTTGACAAAATGCTTTTGACGGTATCAAAATGGATGGTTATGTGGAAGTATTTAAAACGAACATAGTATGAATATATAAATGTGGTGCAATTCCCGTAGTGTACAATGTGCGTTTAATGGAAGTTACATTTTAGCGCGTTGTCAATAGCGCACGCTCAAAATAGCTGCAACTTGTCTGTCAAAAAACGACCATCTTGATAATGTGCAGTGCAGTGTATCTTACAGATGCGATGTAAAAATTTGCAGTTAGCACAGCCATGTTCACAGACGCTGTCATGATGCACTTCGGAAGATTTTTGTTTGTATAACTTTCTTATAGTATACCCAAAAATTCAATTTTTTTAATTTTAATTTGAGCGCTCAAAAAGAAAACCTTTTTTTTAGATCTCTATCTTTGCCGAGGCTGTTTAAATAGCCTTAGAAGGCAAAAAAAAAAGGCAGGGTAGTTCCGGTTTTACTCAATCTATTAATAAACACGCACGCGCATTAGGTTTTTAGAATTATCAATAACACTTTAATATTCCTAAAGATTCAGCGCATAGCAAAGTTGAAATAAAAAAATACTAAATTTAACGTGACGGCTTTGCGCCGCTGCCAGTTCCAGGAAAAGCTGTGGTACGCAACACGTGCCCGGATTTCGTTGTCGGTAGCAATAAAATCTGAAACGAAAAAATTTCCCGCTGTCATTTCCGTTTCTTTATGAAACATTTCCTGTCTAGATAAGAGTTTTAAATTATATTTTCCGGACAAACTGAGCACCTATGGTGTGTTTCCCAAGTGACATAAAATGAATAATAAATGGACTCCGAATATAGAAAGTAATTTTTCACAGTAACGTTGCTGACTGAGACGGAAGACTGGGTACGAATGAAGTGTATTGATTAGACCAGGTTGCGCAGTCCTTTGGGTCAAAATCATTAATAAAGCTTGGACTTGGGTTTGGGCTAGTTGGTTGTACATTGATAGACGTGCTGCGCTGCGAAGTTCTACAGAACAAACGCGTGACTAAAAATTGAAATGAAACGGATGAGTTTACATTGAGATGAATTTCATCTCAATGTAAACTCATCCTTTTCATTTCAATTTTTAGTCACGCGTTTGTTCGGCAGAACTTCGCAGCGCAGCACGTCTATCAAAGTCAAAATCATATGGTTAGACACTTCAGAGGGTTAATTGGCCAAAAACCAAAGTATAAAGCAAAAGTTTCCCTTCTTTGGTCACAATCAGGGTATCTTTGCCCTACATCTCCAAACAAGCGCCTATATTAGGTTCACTGCTGGTAGTTTGGCTGTCAATTGACATAATTGCACGAAAATTGCTAAACACGCACCAGATTTAGGCTTCACTACTGGTGCTTCGGTTCACACGTGGCATCTTCACTCAAGTCTGCCACTTTACCAGTGTTTTGAAGTTAAAAAAGCTATAGTAGCGTTAAAGAAAACTACTCCGACACTAGCTGACGTCTTGGAAGCAAAACCGTGTTAGTCGCAATTTAGCCCCCCCCCCCCCCCCCCCCCCGGATTGCGAAGCTTGTGCCAAGTCAGGCATGTCTCTAGGGCCTGTGAGCCATCTACTTGCCTGGAATCCTAATAGTTAGTTTTAAATGTTCACCTCGTTTGTTTTACATTTCAATTGGAGATTTGCTGCGTGCCGTTCAATTACGCCGTGGCTCTGTTTAAAAGCAAAATAAAATACAACTTCATCCGCGCTATCTGATGGCAATATTGGTTAGGTTGTCCAAAGTTTGGAATACTCAAACTACTGAAAAAAAAGCCCCAGACGCTGAGCGCACGAAAATACATTATAGAGTGACGCCCTTTTTTTTTACAGCCACGTCACCCCCAGATAACGTACTGCTATTGAATTGGTTGGCGACAATTCGCTCCCGGTCGACACATCGTACTTAACAAAGCCGCAGTGCTGATAGAGGTGTCGTCATCAGCGAAGGCTAATGCTGACCACAGATTGAACACGACGATTGGTCAACGTTCTTCTCAAACTTGACTCAAAGCCGAGCACTGACGCAGCCCTCGTTTCCAATCTGTGTCCAGCTTTGCATAAAAATTCAAAAGCGCAAAGACGAAGGAAAAGAAGAGGGGACAGGACAGATCGCTTACTCCAACTGGAACTTTAATGTATTCCCCAAGGAAGACATAGAAGAAGAATTAGGCATGTGAAGGTAAAAAATAATATTATTGTTATTGTTTATAGATGCA